CACCTTCAATACAGTCATCCCCATGCACTTGGTAAGGAAACTCAGCCCATTAGGCATCGACACCCCACTGTGCAACTGGTTACTAGACTTCTTCACAGACAGACCCCAGACAGTACGAGTTGGAAGAAATATCTCTAAAACCATCATCGTGAACACTGGAGTTCCCCAGGGCTGTGTGCTGAGCCCTCTAATGTTCACTCTGATGACTCATGACTGTTGTGCCAAGTCCAACTCGAACCACATTATTAAGTTTGTGGATGATACAATGGTGGTGGGCCTCATCAGCAACAATGGCGACTCAGCCTGTGTGTTCCCTCTATACTTTCTGGATGTTGTGCACTTGTAAATGTGAGAGGCGACCATACTACTACATCCTATGATCCATATTCCATTAGATGGCGATTCACTTACAGTTATAGCTCTTCCCTGATGGTGCACCCTTTCATGGTAATACTTGATAAGTAAAGAAGACATGATTTGCCTTTGGTAGAATGGACCTCTCGAAGCGTGATCGAGACCTCTCGAAGCGTGATCAGTAGGATTATCTTCAGAGTTTACAAAATGCCACTGCTTGGAATCTGTGGTGGACTAAACCACCTTTGGATTCTGTTCGCCACAAACACACTGGATGGCATCATTATTGATGTATCTAAGGACAACCTTTGAGTCCATCCAAAAATATTCTTGAAGACCATCTATTTCAAGCTCATTCCTGAGCATGTCACTTGTTCTTGCTGCTGTCACTGCTGCAGACAATTCAAGCCACGGTATCATGGTCACTTTGGTTGGGGGGCAACAAGAGAATTTCCCATGACTAGCGAGCAATGGACATTGTTATCGGTGTTGACTGCTCTGAGATAGGTGCACTCCCCATAACTTGTGACGCTAGCATCTGAGAAGTGGTGGAGCTCGTACTGCTCGACATTGCTAAAGTTGTTGGCTGGTGGAATATAGCATCTCTTGATCTTCACACTGGACAAGTTTGGAAGGTCTCATAGCCATGATTTCCACCGTGGTCTGAGTTCTTCTGATAGTGTCTCATCCCAGCCCACCTTGTCTCAGCACATTTGTTGTAGAATTTGCTTTCCCACAAGGACAAACATTGCTACAAACCCAAGAGGGTCATAGATGGAAGCTACTGTGAATAGCACTCCACGTCTGGTTACTGGGTGTTTCTTGACAGTGATTCTGAACTGAAAATCATCAGAGGCAATGCACCACTGCACACCGCGTGCTCTTTCCATGAGTGACTGCCCTAATACCATATCCAGAACTTGGATACTTTCAGCACACTCTTCCTTTGGAATTGATTTCAATACCATCTTGCTGTTGGAATTAACTTGTGTAGCCTTAGCTTGCCTTTGCTGCAAATCTCTCTGGCTTCTTTCACAAGCTGAATAGTCTCAGCTTTAGATGTTACACTCACAAGTCCATCATCAACATAAAAATTCCTTTGGATGAATCGAACAGTGTTTTAACTAAACTGATTGTGACCTTCGGTGAGTAGATGTTTAAAACCAAAATTGGCACAGCCTGGTGAGGAGGCTGCCCCAAACAAATGGACCTTCATTCGAAAAGTTGATGGTGGAGATCCCACTATAAGAATCTCAGGTATTCCTGGTCTTCAGGTTTTCTTCTTCATGGAACTGATTAATTTTGCTGAGCAGTCAAAGACTGTGCATATTTTACCAGGCTTTTGAGGGTGGTATACCCCATGATGGGCAATATACCAGGCTGGTTGATTGTCAAGTTCTTCTACTGGGACTTGCTCTGCATCACCACAAGCAATAATGTCTTTCATGAATCGCACATAGTCTAGGTAATACTGCTGGTCTTTTTTGAGCTTTCGTTCCAAGCATCTTAGACGCTGAACAGCACATGCCTTATTATCAGGAAAATTTGGTCTATCATGTTTGAAAGACAAAGGCATTTCATAATGCCCATCTTGTTTATGTTTGATTCCCTTCTTCAGTTTAGTCAGGAAGAGGAGATTGTCTTGATAGACAGTTGTTTCCTCTCCAGCTCTTTCACTGAAATCGAATTCTAGCAGTGTCATTACATCAGTTGGAGTGATTCCTTTGATCTGAGTCTTGCAAACATAGTGACCCTCACTCTTGAGCTTGACTAATGGTCGAGGTTCAGGTGTCTCTTGCATCACCCCAGTATTCACACAGGTCCCCATAGCTTACTATGCTCCAACCTAAATCATGTTTCTGTGCAAAGGGCTGGTTTCCCTCACCACATACAACTTCTCTAGGCATAAGAGCTTGTGGGCAATTGTACCCAATCAACAACCCGATTTCACATTCCTTCTGTGGAACAATGTGCTCTGCAAGATGCTTTAAATGAGGCCATACCTTGACAGAGTAGGGATGTGTGTCTGATTAGCAGGGATGAATTCACAAGTGTACACTGTTGGCACTGTGATCTTCTTAAATGAGAAAAACCCTCTTATTTGCAGGTCTTTGAGTCTTTTACAGGATACAATTGTTGCCTTTGATGCCATTGTAGATAGTTTCAGCTTTACTTGTTCTGTGTTTGTATCAAGAACATCTGCTACTTCATCAAGGATGAAGGAAGTGTCAGTTTGTGCATCTAGTAGAGCGTAAGCTAGAAATTCTTTGCCTGGGGGTTTTGGTGTTGAGGCATAGACGGGAATAATAGCTAAAGTCTGGGTGCGGTTGCCATGTTGCACAACTCTACTGGATGTAGCATCCTTTGTGACATCTTGTAATTGTGCTGCCTGTGGCTCCTTTTTTGTTTTCCCTTGTTAATTTCTCTAGTTTTTGTTCTCCCTTTGGGTGTTCTTCCTGCAAGAGTGTAGGGTGACGTTTTGAGACCCTTTGGTTACTACAGCTCTTGGATTGATGGCCTGGTTTTAAACAGCCAAAGCACAATTTCTCACTCTGAATGAATTTGACTCAGTGACTGTGTCACCTTAATGAATTTACGACAGCTGTGTCCGAATTTCTTACAAAACACACACATTCGCTGGTGTTGGTTGTGACGGTCTTGGCACTAACATTTCTGTTTTTGTTCATCTTTGCCTTATCAGGCTCACTTTGCCGAACTGCATGATGAGATGTTATTGGGTTGCAAACAATACTGGGTTCCATTGTTAGCAAAGTTATGAAACAGTTATGAAACTGGTACTGTGTGGCTCTTCGGTTCCATCTGAAATTTAACCAGTCAGGCAGTTTGGCACTGAGTTTCTGATTTTCAATGCCATCATCAAGAATGTTTAGACTCTCATTGTGAGTAATGGCAGATTCGCAACTGTGCAAAAAGTCCACAAATTTCCTTAACTCCACACTATCCCTGAAGCCAATCTTTGGCCAGGCGTATAATTTGTCTCGGAAGGCCTTGGCAATTACAAATGGCTCACCATATCGTTCATTGAGCAGATCTACTCATATTTTGTGATTAAGCTACCCAGAGTCAACTTATATATATATATATATATATATATATATATATATATGTGTGTGTGTGTGTGTGTGAAATCTATATGAGGCAACCATTACTTACGTTGTGTGTGAAATGCTGTTATTAAAATATACCCCTAAGATTTCAAAAACAACCACTGTAGTCAGCTCCCATTTTAATTTCTACACTTTTATTTATTTTCGTTTAGCTTGTACTACATTTGAACAGCCATATGTTTTGAGTTTTCATGTTCTCCGCATGTCTGCGTGGGTTTTACCGAAATCATGGCTTGTGTATGAGACCCTCGAGACTGGCATCAAAGAAGTTCTGTGACCCAGGTGATAGCCGGTGGTTACTGAAAAGATGTGTGGCTATATGTGATACATATAAACCTAATAGTGAATTAGCTTATAAAACAGTAAATCTAATTGCGTAAATTAAAATGGGTTTGTGAAATGCAATGTTGTAACAATGAACTGGTTCAACTCTTTCGAACTTCTTATGTCTCCCTATCTACAACATTGGACACTGATAAGGATATAATTTAACACAATAATTCATTAGACATTGTTTATTTACTTCTTAAATAGAAGATCTCTAAATCTGAAGAATGCTGAAACTATCTAACATTACGTAAGCCTAACATTACATTACCTATCATTAAGTAAGGTAACGTTAGCTAGCTAACTACAACACTGGGAATCAGTTAATGATTTACCTTCATAATCAAAAATAAACTGCTCAAAAAATAATTTATATCCCTTATCGAGTTTTGCACGTTTGGTGCTCGATAACTTAGCTCTTCCACAATTCTGACCACATTGTCCTGCCTAAAGCATGAGAGTTCAGCCAAAGATGACGAATAATGAAATGCAGCCATATTCGTAGCGGACCTGCGCGGAAACCGGAAATAAGTTTACACATAACCTCCCCCGGAACTTGACCCCTCCTCCGTGCGTGATAAACGCCTATTGCATCAGTGTGGCGTGCGTCCGCCCCCTGGGCCCCGACGGCGGCAGGCGGGGCCTCCGCGACTTCTTCGGCGGCAGTGAAGGGAGGGAACAGGACGTGAGCTCCGAGCTCTCTCGGAGCGGGGACGGGAGGGAAAAGGAGGTGTGCTCCGAGTGCTCTCGGAGCCGGTTTGGGAGGCGAGAGAAGGTGATCTCCGAGCGCCTTCGGAGCAGGAAGGGGAGGGGGAAGAAGGGCTCCAGTCCTCCTTGGAGCTGGGACTGGAGACTTGAGGGGTGGTGAGAGGATGGGCCCCTGCCCCCCCCCGCACACCGAGGGTTGCCGCTCTGCCAGCAGGCTCCTGACCATTTGACGAGTTGTCACCTGCTGCTCCTCAAGCTGCTTCCAGTGCTTTTCAGCATCCTGGAAGACAGCCTGCTGCTCCCGCCAGCCGGCCAGGTGCAGATGGACGAGGGTCTTGATTACCTCTTCTTTTGCCGCGGAGACTTCCTCGGTGTGTTGGCCTCCTCTGCCCGGGTTTCGGCACCAATGTAGCAACTTTAATAATGGAGGGAGAATGCCGGCGGCAGGTGTGGAGACGGCGAGCCTATTGCAGCCGCCGTCGGGGCCCGGGGGGGCGGGCGCACGCCACAATCATTCATATATGTCAACATCATCACCACTGCTGCCACTTCACTTTTTCACCACCGTCGAACTGTAATTAATAAATAAAATGTACAGTACAAACGGAAAGTTATGAATTTTACAAACCACATCGAAATTATTACAAATGTACGCGATAGAAAACAAAACACAACTAAATTAAACAAACATACCTTGCTGGCTGCACACAACCAAGAGGGAATGAACCCAATATCTTGAAATTAAATGAATGAGAACACTGTAACTTACTGCTTCTGCTCTGTCGTTTTCATGCAACAGTTCAGTTTTTCAGGTTGAAGTGCCACATCTAAACCGCCTTCCTAGGAACATAACACTTAGTTTCGATATACATGACAAAAAAAAAAAGAGTATACATATGTACAAAAATAAATCAAATAGAAAATTCACGAATTATGAAAAACTAAATCACAAATATGTAAACAACATATGAAGTAATAACTGACATTTATGGCAGTTAAACAACTGCTTGAGTATTTCAGGGAGCATATAACCATCTTTTTTGAATTTCTGTATTACTTTTGCTACTGTATTCTGACTCAACTGTGATTTGCTAATCTTACTGTACCCTTGTCATCTTGTGTGCAGTTAATTTTCTTTCTCATGTCTCCAGACAATTCTCTCCCATGAGGCACCATTGTTGATTTATAAAGTGGTCAAGTACCACTTCTAATTGTCATTTATACCTGTTTGAATGTGAAGGCTGAATTGTCTCATCTGCAGATTAGTTAACCTTAGTTAGTGCAACATCAGTCTTGGTGGACTGAACTGTGCATCAGTTTTCCTTGCTTTGATACAAAATGCAGTCATTGACCTAATCTTTCAAAATTCACTAAGTTTCTCTATCAGATTCAACCACTAGGAAAACTCCATATCTACAGCACATATTACACACATTTGCACATTTTCCAAAATTGTTCAATCCAAGTTTAAAACATAACACACACAGCATTTTCTGCAATAATACTACATGAATACACTCCAAATTAAAAGCAAATGTAACAGATCTCACTTTGTTCATCTTTAGCAAGCTGCATCACTAGAATCAGGTTCTACTCAGTTTTGAATGGAGAAACACTCAAAACATGCAATGAGATGAAACGCAAGTTATAATGTCAGAAGGCATCAGCATGACACACTGAGCATAGCCAAAAAGCACGCGAGAATATATAAAGTATAAAGAATATATAATTAGTTTGTTCTTTTTAAATATGCACACGCCACTAACTAAATAATAAAATTCAAGCTATATATGCTATAAGGTCAATCGCTGTATAAAAATGCACACATAAGAAATGAAGTGATGATTCAGCCGTCTGAACAAAACAAATCAGACAATATTAGCCATCTTATCAGAACATTAAAAAATACATTAACATTTTATTCGGATATAAATATTTACAAATCAAGGCTGGTGTGAATCTCCTAACTCCTCGTATACTGTTTGTGTCCCAAATGCCTCAGTCGTATTTCAGATGTTTTCCTGCATCTTTTCTTAAGAGCTTAAGAACAATATTATCTGCATAAAGTAATTTAGTTTTTTTTTTTTTTTTACATTAAAGCAATAAAATACACAAAATAGCACATAGAATGTTGGCAGAATTGCGATTAGATAATTCAAGGTACTTCAAATCTCTTAACCTGTTGTGATGTCTCTTTCAGTGTCCCAGTCGCCTAAATCGTGTTTCCGCTGTTTTCCAGCATCTACTCTTAAAAGCTAAACAAGCTAAATAAAAACCATGCGCCCAAGGATCATGCGCTGTAGCCATGCCACTGCCAGATGCTTTGGTTTCCATTTCTATATAAGAGCAAACATCTATGGAATGATTTCTCAAAGAGCAATAGATTTCATAGGTTTCACATATGCTCCACATTTTGATGACCGAGGACTCCTAATCTACTTCCTTATGTTGTCAGCTTTATTGTTTTAGTGTTTCAGGAGACTGACGACCAAGCTGTGCCTGTGTATGTTCTGTGAATAAATGCAGAATCATACTGCAGCATTTATGACTTGTTCCTGGAACATACTGTAGTACAGTGAGTAAAGAGGTGACATTAGAAAGAACATTAAATTAGATGCAAAATATATATATATATATATATATATATATATATATATACACACACACACACACACAACCCAAATTCCAAATAAATGTAAATAAAAACAGAATGCAATGATATGCTAATCTTATAGACCCATATTTTATTGATAGTGCCTTTCCAGATGTGTAAGCTGCCACACCATAGGCACTAAAACAGCTCCATACCATCAGAGAAATGGTATCCATCCTGTCATGGACAAATATTACATAAGAATTATGTTTCTAAAGCATTGTAGAAACTATTAGTGCATTTGCACTTCTTCTATCGCGTATGTCACTTTTCTTCTTCATATTGTAAAGAACTATAGATGAGAAAAACAAATGCCATGCCACTACAATTGCAGATGCGTTAGATAGATAACATTTTACGTAGCTATACAATGTATTTTGTAACGCAGCAGGTTCTCAATAATGCTAGCCTACACGACTGTGATACAACTAGCGTGGCGCGCTTAGATAGACAGCTTTGACAAAACATTTTACTCACCTTTATTTCTTCCTTGCTTCTCTCCTTCACAAGAGTGAGGAGACTCACTGCTCATTTTGTCACTCAGTCACTTTGTTAGCATTATTATTATATCATATCTCTGCTATGGACAATAATACTTTAACACTAAGTCACTTTAAATAATAATAACACTGTCACTTAAGTCACTTTAAAATGTATATTGTCTCTATATTTTGTGTATATCTTGTGTATATTTAATATATTTGTTTGTTTTTCTTGCATATTTAATTTTTTACTTATTTACTTTCTGTAGAGTGATTACCTGAGCCTCACCACAAGCATTTCAATGCATAAATGTCCTGACATGTTGTGCAAATGACAAATAAACTTGAAACTTGAAACATTTAGGGTGGCCGTAAGGGCCCAGAGAGCAAGCATATATCGGTCTGCTGGCTTGATAAGGTCAGCACCCTGCTGACTATTTGCCGCCGCTGGTCCACCCTCAGACCACCTAGATTATTGTCCAGCATCCACAGCAGCCACTGTTAAATACTTCAGAGGTTCTCAGTTTATAACAATTTTTTATTTTTGTGATCAAGAGACAAAACATACTATCCTTATTCAAACGGTTGCTAAGGATTCATATGCTCATCTCTATCAATCATACTTGTATTTTGTATCTTTCCCCATAAAGACAAATTAAAATTACACACTGGCCAAAATTATTTCTTACAATTAAGTCTGAATCAACATGTATCAGCATGGCGATTCATGACCCAGTTTCCTAGGCATGTAATCCTCTGCCCATATAGCTCCAAGCACAAATAACACTTGGCAACTTGTGTCAAATCATCAGCAAAAGTAATGCAAAAAACAAACAAACAGCATTTACAGTTTAGTATATTACTGCTACTGACAGTGTAAGGTTGGGGAAGCGTAAAAGAGATGTCATCTGAGGCAAAGTTCACTAACTAAACTGTAATTTAACAGGAAAAATCATAGAGAAAACTACAAAAACTTTTTTAATCCAGGAGAAATTGTGTTCAGTTTAGCTTACTGTCCATTACTTTATTACACTGCATTTCTGATTGGACTGACATAAGACACCTTTAACGTTTCTGACAGGGAACCGTTTAAGAAGGATGTGAAATTCTTTATTCAGAATGATTGTGATTGTGCACAACGTTCTCCATACGTCTGTACCAGTTCTTAACTTTGGTGTTCTCCATCATGTCGTTGAAAGCCTGAAGACCTTCCATAACCCTCAGAACACCAAACACTGCCTGTGCAGAAGAACATAAAACATTGTAAAGAGAGTGAATTGTAAAACTCAATGTATGTCTACAAATGTGCGCAGCCAAAGACCTTATTTAGAACAAGCTTTGCCTGTATTAACAAAATTCCCCTCTTTTAACCCTCAGTTTTTCTATAACAAAAACATACAACAATCTCTTACCACAGCAGATTATGGTTTTTAATTTAAAAACTCAACATAATTAAATAGTTAAGATAATGTAATTTAGAATGCTCTGATATAAAATGATAAAATGTAGAGAAATGTACTGACTCCAATTACAGTGGTGGTGAGAGGAACTAGGGGTTGCAGTGTCTACAATACAAATATAGCCATTTTAATTGCTATCCAAAACCATCAGTGTATCTGCAGGTGTCTGAGTTGTTACATGTAATGCTGATAATTATAGAATAATGGTAAATATGAAAAAATAAAATTTATTTGGGGACTCTTTTTGCTAACAATGTCTTGAATGTACTTTCCAGCCATGAATGGGTTTAAAAAATGTTTTAGCCCAAAACCCTATGTCAAAACAATGTCTCAGATATCATGCAGCATGTTTATAACTGCGTATTCATTTTGTGTAATAACTGTCTGCAAGGTAGCTTCTACGAGTATTTAAACACTTCAGACGTCTGGTTCTTATCACCACTGCTATGATCAATTCTGCCTTGGTAATTCAGTAACCCAAGAAAAAAACAGCAGAATGTGACCATGTCTCAGGTTTAGCCACTACTGTGAATAAATTACTAAAATTACAAATTCCTCTGGGTGGGCACTGCATCTATGTTTTTAACTCTATCGTCTTTTAGAGCTGTCAGCTGGATGAATATATGAAATTCAAATTTCTCTTTGCTTGTCTGCCAGATATCAATATACATTTATATTTAAATACATTTTTTAAAGATGCAAATAAGATTAAGACATAACTGCAAAAAAGCCATTTAAAGTAAGTGTTGTGTCTCCTAAATCCACAAGTGGGCACTCAGCGTATTACTCAATAAAGCACTATGAAGCATTCTTAAAAGTTCATGGTGTTCTGGGGTTGGAAGATGGTTGCAAAAAAAAACAAGAAAAGAAAAAAAAATTCTCACACTCTAGTGATATCCAGTTGTCATTCTAAACTAAAATATATAGGCTGCATCAGTGAAAGTGCACATGCTAAGTGTAGAAAACAAAATCTCCAACTGGTGCTAATACCTGCAGTTTCTGTATAGCGACACTTCAGATCAAATTAGCAGCTTAAATGCTATTTTAATGCTACCTTACCTTATCAATAGCACATGATTGTTAGCTTACTACACAACAAAGAATCCACATTTGTAACTTTGGCTTTTCGCTTCTCAGAAAAATCTGACGTCTGAAGCAGACCATTGAAAAGAGAACATTTATCCCATTGCTTTTACTCATCTTGACTTGATATTTACAACATTGTTATGCATTTAAATATCTGAATAAAGTCAAATTAGATCTTTGTTGTTTTGTTGATTTATGGTTAGCTATAGCCTGTTCTTACTCATTATATCTCTATTATTTATTACTATACAATAATATTAGATTATATACTCATTATATCTCATTAAAGCCAAGTTAGATCTTTGCTGTTTTGTTGATTTATGGTCAGCAATAGCCTGTTCTTACTTATGTTAGGTAGATGTTGCATGCATGAAATTATTAGTAACTCCTGGCCTGAAACATGCCAGGAGCCACTGCATAGACAACTTTACACATTCAAATAGACATTTTCTATATTTTAATGTGCAGTTTCTCATCAAATATAGCGAACAATCAAATTATATTTCGACAGCTCCATTTCCTTTGTTAAGTTAATTCCTTATGAAGGAACAAATCATACCAGATCTGCAAGGTTGGGACTATCTCCTCCCATGAACTTCTTCTTTCCAACAGCTGCCATCCAGTCATTGACAGCCTTGTAGAGGTCCTGTCTCACATCCTCCTGCAGGTTGTGTCTAGGTTATCAAGAAGAATATACAGACACAACAACTTTTTAAGGCAAAAACGAAAAAGAAACTCAACGAATGTAGTTTAACTTGTAACAACATACCACTGTAAAAATCACCCCAAAACTTTTCTCTTTGAATTAACTTTTTTTTAACAGGAGTGTAATAACCCAGCATATCTTATTACATGGCTCAATATGAGCTTCTAAATTCAACATGCACAAGTATAGAACAATACATTCAACTGACTGGAACAAATAATATACTCAGTTTAATTATATTGCATGAAGTATAATAAAATTAACCCATCAAGACACAATAAGGCACACCTTATTTTTGCTGTATCGAATTCAGAGACAACCATATGGTACTGAACCAAATTTAAAATTTTGTAAATTGTTACACTCCTACTTTTTAAGATTTTTAGACAACAGAATATGAAGAACACCAATTATAAGCATTTAAATTAAGAAGTAATAGATGAGCAAACGTTGCACTAACCTATTTCTGAGCCTTTTTGAGATGATCCACATTGCAGCTGCTCCAACATACTTTGCAAAAAATCCTTCAAATCTGCCAAACTTCCCTTCCCGAACTATGTAGTCAAATGAAGCCAGAGCCTCCCCAGGTGTACGGTAGACATTAGGAGAAATAAGGTGCACAAGCCAATCATCTACCCATTTACGCCACTTTATTTCCTCTCTGAAAGTAAAAGCAAAAAGCATTTAGAATATGGAATGCATGTTAAATATATAGCATGGACTAATCCATTTTGCATCACTTACTTTCTGGAATCCTTTTCTGGATATTCATGGTCATTCACCATCACCCAGTACTTGTTGCCAAACTCTATGACCTCTTTTCCATGCTCATTTTTTGCCTTCATTTCAGGATAACAGGCAAGAATCTGAGGAATCATCTTCTCTCTAAGAAGGGGGTTGAAAGGCGCACATTAATCCACATCAACGTTTCAATGAAGTTTTTTTTTTTTACAAATGGCATCATGTTTACACATCATCACATTTCATTTTGTTTTCATACATATTATGCAACTGTCAAACATACTTACTTGCTCATGAGATAGGTCATCAAAGCACTAATAATGACAGATGAGTCATTGAGTTGCTGTCAAAAAGGGAACATAGGACAGAGATGGAGACTGACATTGGGTTTTTTTGGTTGTTTGATTATTTCCAATTCAAAATATTATAGGCTACTTACAACAGTTCCATTCACCATCAGGATGGGAACTTTTCTGTAACCAGACCACTTGATTTCTTGTCGCATAACGGGATTAACCTCCACAGTTTCATATGGGATGCCATGGTAGTCTAAGAACACTCGCACTTTACTGCAGAATGGGCAGGTCTTGTACTGGTACAGTTTCAGCTTAAGATCTGTTCCAAGATCTGGTGCCTACAGAAAAGATTAATTTGCAATAGATACAACAGAATGAGTGCTGCATGATTAACAACTGTAAGGAAAAAAAAAACTGGATTCAGGCAAATTCAAAGTAGTAAAATTTGACATAACACACACACATAAAGAAATGGCACACATTTATATGTTTGGTGCTGTAAAATTGGATCAAAAATCAAATTTGACTATTACCCATGTTTGTGTTTTGTTATATTTAAATTTATTTGAATTTTAAATACCATACCTGCAGTGAACAGATTTCTGTCAATGTCTATACCAGGATGCACTCGGCATAATCTATCACACTTTACATTGATGGTCCTCTATACATCATCTACAGATAATTGAATTATTAACAAACTTTTTGATGAGATTCTATTGATGATCTACATCTTTGAGAAGGTCAAGAAAGGTACATCAATTCTGACTAATGTTTGAGAAGGACCTTTCCTTGAAATTCTCATGCCATCATATTTTATTGTCATTATAAGATAAACAGAGTGGCTGTGCTGAGAGTATAAGGACACCTACTAAAATTAAAGTAAAAGTCTGTAACTGGCACGAGTGGCTGCAGATGCATGGTAGCTTACTACACTACAAAGCATAAACATTTGGTACACTGGCTTGTCAGAAAAGTCTACCATCTGAAGCAGATCAATATGATTACCTCACAGAAGAACATGTTTGCCCATTAGCGTTATTTTAATTATAAAGTATAAACATATTGCCTTGTTCAACTTCTAAAATCCTGCCTGCTAAAATCTTGTCGAATGTTTGCAAATATCCCCACAGTAGGTAAAATCAGAGCCAATTGAAGGGGAGTAAGGCAACTTCCTATTTCTCACATTATACCAAAAACCCAACCTTCCTGACTAAAGCACTATGTAAACTCACTCATGAATTAACGACTGTCATACCACTATTAGTCCTGGCGCTGACATTGTAATACCAACCTACGTGCTTACCAACATAAGCACGTAGCATGTGAAAATCGCCTCTGTTCATTACAGAGTTCCAGGCTGCCTCTGGAAGCAACATCAGCATAAGAATTCTGTGTTGGGAGCTTCAGGAAATGGGTTTCCATAGCCAAGCAACCGCATACAAGCCTAAGATCACTAAGATTACATGTGCAATGCCAAGCGTCAGCTGGAGTGGTCTAAAGCACGTTGCCACTGGACTTTGGAGCAGTAGAAATGTGTTCTCTGGAGTAATGAATCATGCGTCATTATCTGGCAGTCAGTCTAGGTTTTGTCGGAGGAGGGATAATGGCATGGGGTTTTCCAGAGTTTCGGCTAGGGTAATTTTAATGCTTCAGCATGAAAAGACCTCAGTGGCATTAACTGCAGTGTGACTCTCTTGCACCAGACCTCATACCTAAAACAAAGACGTTGTTGTCGTCTGGTACAAGAGAATCACACTGCAGTTAATGCCACCGACGTCCATCTTTCATACAGCGAGCATCAGAAATATTGTGTTTCTTCCACCCCTCAAACTATTACGACAACATAGAGAAATCCAAATGTCTGCTAGCTTGTGTTTGAAGACTGTGATATGCTCTGACATGGATTTGGTACTAGTGATATGAGTAAGGCGGTATGATCCATCATTGATGTACTGAGCCATCTAATGTTCTGCTCATACTAAGCTGACATTGAGTTTAGCACCTGTAACCAGATAGCCTAGCATTTATCACTAGACACCTTAAAATAATCTGTTATCTTTTTAATCTATAAAATTTTACAAAAATCACAGCCATGCTGTGCGTGTAGGAGTGCTGCTTTAACCAGCTGGTAAAAACAGCTAACCTGGGAAACTTTCTCCCACTATCCCCTGATAGATTTGCAAAATATTCCTCTGTTTGCCAAGCATTTGTCATGTTCTGAGCCTTTAAACTTGAAAGAAATAATGATGACATTTATCGTGGCAATTATTGACATCAAGTGATACGTACATTTTTATCGTACTAACATTTTTGGCCCATAACATTGGGCAATAACATTTTTAATCTGCCAGCCCTAAGTCACTGATTGATTTCACTGATCCATTGAGAGATCAATTTTAAGACTGTTCTATAATTATTAAAATCTGAGGCATCACCTCCTTTGTGGAGTGAAATTGCCTGTGCTGTTTTACAGATACTGGGAATTTTGCTTGATAAAACAGTTAAAATTAAGATTAAAAATCTGTGTTGTGTTCTAATCATGGTCACAGAAATAAGGATTCCAAACTATCCACTCTTCTATTTTTTTTTTTAGTGTTGATGGTGCTGAGGGCTTTAGCTACTATGTGAAGGAGAGAGACAAATATTGACAGGCGCTTCCATATTAGTATTATCAAAATAATGCCCAGTAGCTGCAAAGTTAGTGTTAAAATGTTTGGCAGAGCTCTTTTTGATCAGCAAACTGATGATCATTAATTAGGATATGGGTTAGAATCACTCGATTTGTTTTTGAGTAAATTAGTCTTCTAGAATTTGAAGCTGCATATGTAAACAACTGAAGGTAATATTCTGCTTTAGTTTTGGCATTAGTTGCCTGAAAATGAGCCATTGGTCTCAGTCACAATTTCTTCTTGCGAGGGCCCATGCTATTACTTCTTGCATTAAGCAACCAAGATATTTCAGTGTTGAACCCGGGATTAGTTCCATCTCGAATTTTATTATTTTTATAAGGGGCATGCTTGTTTACCACCACCAAGAATGTTTTGCTAAAATGGCCTAACAGTTGATAGCAGAATTTCAGAAGTGTAATTAATATCACTGAGCGCCAGGTTGTTCAAAAAGTCTTGGTCATTAAAACGTTTAAAATTCCTTCTAACCACCATCCGATAGGGCAGTGACCACTAAAACCAAGGGCCAAATACACCTATAGAAGTAAGTTTGTCATATTTTTTGGATAAAATTAAATCTACTAATGCTGATTTGGTGGGGTCTCGCAAGTTTGGTCATGCTGGTTCTGGATTTAGTTGCATTAGAGATTTCCACAAACTTCCTTCAAGTGACTGGATGCATTAGTCAAACAATTCTGATTAAAATCACCTAGGGTAAGCATTTCTGATGCATGGGGATAAAAGTATAAGAGGACACGGAAAGAGGTCTATAGATCCCAGCAAAACTTATTGCGTCCTGTGTACTAAAAATTGTGTACTAAGGCTAAAAATTCAAAACATTTTTCTTTGTTTAAGTGAGTCAAGCTGCTGTATCTTTCTTCAAAAGTTCAGTTTTTTCATCTGTGATATTGTTACAGCCTACATGGAAATCTGCATTACAAAACTGCTTAGCAAGGAGACTAGGAAGCTGCTGCATAATGTTATTTACTTTGGCACATGAGAGGGAGTAAGTGATTGCTGAGGCTCTGTTGAGGTTTGACTCAAAGTGGTTGGTGGTTACTGCAGCACGGGACGGCATGAATGTTGCATGTTTGTATCCAGCAGTGGAGACCGGCATGAATGCTGTGCATTTGTGTCCAACGGCAAGGACTGGCATAAATGATGCGCGTTGATATTCAACACCAGGGACCTGCGTGAATGCCGTGCGTTGGTGTCCAACGGTGGGGACTGATGTGAATGCCATGTGTTGGTGTCGAGCGAAGATGACCGGCGTGAATGCCACATATTGGTGTCCAGTTGTGGGGTCTGGCATGAGTGCTGTGCATTGGTATCCAGTGGCAGGGACCAGCGTGAATGCTACGACAAGGAAGCCTGCAGTTGGGGGGAGCATGGGCACTTCTCAAACTGTTGGAAAAGAGCAACCCAGCTCTGTCTGCTGTGAACTTTTTGACCCTCGGCATGGGGTTGCCAAAAGCACAAGAGGTGAGCAAGGGATCCACATAAGTGGGAGTCCTCAAGCTCAAGGTGGAGAATTTCTTGCTCAGAGGGATATTTCAGGGGGCAGAGGGTGGAGTGCAGAGCGTCTACCACCCCACAAGTTCCCACAGGCCATGCTCCAAGGCTCTGTCTGGCAAAGGACAAATCCCACACCCAAACAAGGCCATGGGTCGTCCAGCTGTCATAAGGCCGCATCCATCCTGGTTACTGAGGTTAGGGCCTGGGCTGTTGCTAGCATAGAATCTAGCAAGTTCTCATCCTCCTAATGAGAACTTGCTAAGCTATCACAACTGTGTGAAGAAGCAAATGTAGACATGGTGGCAGGCTACTTAAAGTACTAAAAATCACTGAAGCTAATTTTTTGCATCAGAGCTTGGTTTAATCTATATAACTACAAACAGCTCACTGCATTTTGCACAGATGATTGTTACTGTCACACAATGTGCTTATACTGTGGGCAGGTGGCAAAGACAATTCTGGCACAGATTGCAAAATGCGCCAATCCAAGACAGCAGTATATTCATTTACTTTGACTGCAGTAAGTAGGGTCAGCAGGTGTAGGGCAACCCTTCAACATAGAAAATAAACATACATTAGCCAGTCTTATGAACAGTAAGATATTTAGGCCTAATTATAAATTATATTATTAGCATTATTGTTACTATTATTTTTATCATTATTATTATTATTATTATTATTATTATTATGTATGCCTTAGTTTTAGGTTGTATGTATACCCTTTTAAAGTAATTATTATTTAAATTTAAAAATTATTATTTATTTTTACTCTTCAGAAAATGTTTTCTTTTAAACCCAGACTGTAATATGGCACTTAAATACACTAAGTGGGTTTAGTTTTTATTTTATGCAATTTAAGTAATAGAAGTGTTGATTTTTCTAAAAAGGAAACCAAGTAGTTGTTCATTTTAAGAAACCAGTGACTCCTATTTTCTATTTTGTTTATTTACTATTGGTCTTAAATAAGGCCAAAAGTATTTATCTGATTACTTAATTAATCAATGGGATAATCGGTTGAATACTAGATTACTAAAATAATAAACATGTTTGTATTCAAACATGCACAAAAAATTTATTTTGTGAAGGCCAATAATCATTCATACTTATCAATTAAATGTTGAACACTACTGTTTCAATTACTATTCATTCCCTTGGAATTATAAGGTTCTATCTATCAGATATTTTGTCAAATTTGAGCCTCAGGCCAAACGGAACGGATGAACCGTGTCATCAAGGAACGCCTGTCAAAGATGCATTCCATTGCCTGAAGCCCTTCCAGCAGTGCTCTGTAGCATTCGCGCTACTCACAACAAGAAAACAGGCTTGAGTCCTTTCAAGGTGATCTGTGCAAGGCTAATGTCCACTTGGCTGGCTAGCTCTCAGCCATGCTGTCCGATGAGCAGAACAGCAAGTTCAAGATGCGTGGTTCGAGCCATCTCAGGGGGACTGTGATGATGTAAAGTACCCCCTTACACATCACAATATAAAGACTGATTGTAAACACTTACCTGTACTTACCTGAGGACTGATTATCCTTGCTTTGAGGAGCAAAGAGAACTGAACGGGTTCACCGGTGATTTACTTACCTGGGTGAGTCCATCCTCTGTAGAAGAGGAGGGAAGGACAAAACCTGCAAGAAGAGTAAAACTGATTAAGAAGTGTACAGTGAGTTGTATATGAATATTAATTACATCGTGAATGTAAATTTGATTAGTAAGGAAGAACATGAATTATTTACTGTTGCATGTAAATATATTTAAATATCTGAAGCAACTGTTTTTAACCTGGACCAGTAATGGTATATCCTAGGGGAGGAGCACCCCAAATATAAGCAGCATTACTGGGGGGTACAAGGGAATCCCTTCTTTCAGCTTGGTGAAGACTGAAGGTGATGTGTGCAGACCTTGCAGTCGTTGGTCAGTCTCATAGCCGTAGAGACCATTTTCATTTTGTCTTCGTTTTGTTTTCATTTGTTATGTGTGCACGTGTAAATATGTAAATAATCCTGAGCGTTGGTGTGTAAATAAAGGTGACGGGGAGAAGAACTCTTGAGCTGTATTTATTCCAGTTACTTGGACCACTTGCCCGACGCTACCCATAAGGTGTGTCCCCTGCCACAGCATACTGCCAGGTCGAGGGACACAAATGGTGGCAGCCGCGAAGAGCCACGGTTCTTCGCAAATGGTAGCAGCAGCGCAGAGCCACGCACAACTGTGGCAGTAGTTTGTCAACTTCAGCGAACACAAGATTGCAAGGCGGAGCAACACACACTGTGGCGGCGGGACGGACAGTTCCAGCATTCGCCACGAGGAGGCGATGGCTCCCAAGAAACCCCCAACCACCCAAAAACAACACACAAACAGCAGCGAAGAAGAATGTGAGCCGTCCTCAGCACAAAGACCCACGGAGAGTGCATCCGAGATTGCTAACCTGCGGCAAATGCTCCAAGGCTTCATCGATGCTCAGCAGCGAAAGGACGAAGAGCAGCAGAGAGAAGCGAGGAGGCAGGACCAGAGGTGGCGCTTGCTACAGCACCAGTTTAGGCTTCTGCAGGAAGAAGTCCGGCAGGGTCAAAGGGGAGTGCAGCAGGACCCGGAAGCTCAACATTCAACAACAACAACAACGCACTCAAGGATATACAGACTGGTGGTACCAGCACACGAGCCAGAGGGAGAGCACGTAAGAACAAACCATCGTGCTGGAGCAGTTCCTGAGCATGATCAACCCCGAACTCAAGAGCTGGATAATGGAAAGGAGCCCGGCTTCAGCAGAGCAGGCGGTCGAAATGGCAGACGCTTTCGTCGCAGCACGGCAAGCTGAAGGAAAGTTCCGGCTCGGAAAACCACACTCCAGCAAGCAAACCAGTAAGTTTGAGAAACGTGATTATGGCAGTGGCCATAAAAGCCAAAAATTAGATGCTTTAGCTGTAACCAAATAGGCCATAAAAGCAGTGAATGCCAAAACCCACCTACTAGCTCCAACCAACTTTGCTACATCCTTTGCTACAGGAAAAAAACTCTTTTAGCGCACAGGAGAGCAATGAGGAAACCACAATACCAGTTAGAATAAAAGGTAAACAGTACAAAGCATTAATAGATAAAGGAGCAAGCCAAACACTAGTCAATCCCAATCCTGTATAGAAAACCTACAATACAGCCTCACAGGGAAGCTAAGGGTTAAATGCATCTACGGTGATGAACAGGTCTACCCAACTACTGAAATTAGCATCTCAATTAAGGGACAAACTTACCTGGTAAATGTAGGAGTAGTACAGAACTCCCCATATGCTGTGATACTAGGTAGAGATATCCCCGTTCTGGTTGACCTAAATAAAAAACAAGCAAGCAAAGCTGAGGTTATGGTGGTGACCAGACAGCAATCTAAAAACGCTGCTAAAGAGACAGTGAAACTGCTAAATGAACTGCCTTATGCCGTAGAACCCAAACTAAAAAAGTCTAAAATGGAAAAAAGGAAAGAAAGTCAAGGGAACCACAGTGGCAGAGAAAGTAGAGCTGCCAGGCACTAGCAACATCGGTTTACCTGCTAATTTCGAAGAGCTTCAGAGTGAGGACGAGACGTTAAAACCTCTTTTCGCTAAATGCAAACAGTACAATGATAACCCAGATGAAGGTTGCCATTTAACTGTAAAAGAAAATAAACTATATAGTAGGGGTGGGCATCTCAAGGCACCTCACGATTTGATTGCGATTCAGAGGGCTGTGATGCGATTATAAAACGATTATCGATGCATCTTTTTTTCTATACATGATTTCTGTTTTCTTACTGTCTGAGGACTTTGTAGTTTTAAAACAAAGTATTTGTAATGACCCATAATGCATTTACATCCAATATCTTTTATTAATAAAACAAATGGAAGTGATGTGGCAAATGAACTGGAAGGCTCTCATTCACTGCTCTTCTGAGGAGCGAAAGACTGCAGGTCACCTAGCAGCAAGGTTTCGCCAAGCTAGTAGCGAACGAAAAAGGAAAAGAGAAAGACAGACGAACATTTGGAGATGAATGATTCGCATTTATAAGCAGCGCAGTTGGTTTCCTGGTGCGTTAAATCTGCAACGAGAGACTGTCACACACTAACTAAAAGATGCGAAGCTGCAAAGATGAAGTCGCTTCTCTAATTTTCCCGTTCCACCTTAAATGGTGCCGCTTTTACATTCGGCGCCTCAGTCAGAATTTAAGGTGGAACCAGAAAGTTCAGCAAGAAGCTGGCGAATGAGAAGCGACTTCAGCCTCGTTTACAAGAAACTATTCAACTTTTGAGGAAAAGTTTTCTGGCGGAGATGGAAGAAAAGCAGCTATAGCTGAAGCTTAAAGCAGAGCAGAGTAAGTCTGCGTTTTCGTTTATATTTTTTAGCCTAAACTAGCACATTATCACATACTGGACATAAATGTTGTGGCGGCCAAGCTGGTTTGATTTTTGTTGAAAGGATAAAATGGCTCTTCTTAACATTTGGGTTGTGACTCCTGATCTAACCTGGCTTTAATGCAGAGGGAGCCGGTCGGATTTCTCACTCATCCTGTTGTGTTTTTGTTATGTGCCGCCACAGACTGTCCGGGCGCCGCACTTACCCACTTCCAAGTTCTGCCCTTTGCGTTCTGTTAACATTACGTTATAAATTAAATATTTAGAAAATCGATTTTTGACATTTATGAATCGATTCAGAATCATCCACGTCTGCATCGCGATGCATCTAAGAACTGATTTTTTTCTCGCACCCCTACTATATAGAGTCACGGATAAAGGTGAACAACTGGTAATCCCACAGGGTCTCAGGGGTGAAGTGCTTAGACTGGGTCATTCAGATCCTTGGGCAGGGCATTTTGGCTAGGCCAAAACTTTTAGTCAAAAAGCACACATGTTTTATTGGCCAGGTCAGTATGCAGTTGTTAAATTCTGTAAAAATTGCCCAGTGTGTCAGCTCACAGCAGCTCAAGAGAGGTCAGACAGGGTGTCCATGGTGAACATGCCTATCATTGACATCCCATTCTCACGCATAGCTATGGATGTAGTAGGACCATTACCCAGAACTAAAAACGGCAACCGCTACATCCTGGTTGTGTGTGACTATGCTACAAAAAACCCAGAAGCTTTCGCACTGAAAAAAGTAAAAACATGCCAGATTGTCAATGCTCTTATTCAGCTCATTTCCAGAGTAGGGATCCCGAGAGAGATATTGACAGATCAAGGCACAAACTTCACTTCAAAACAGATGAAAGCTGTATACGACCTATTAGGCATTAAAGGTATTCATACCACGCCATATCACCCTCAAACTGATGGTTTAACAGAACGCTTCAACCAGACTCAAACAGGCCCTGAAGAAACTGGCAAACAGCAACAGAACAGACTGGGACACGTGGCTACCTTATGTTCTGTTTGCATACTGCGAAGTACCCCAAGCCTCTAGTGGTTTTTCACCATTCGAGCTTCTTTATGGATGACACGTGGGAGGCCCTCTGGACGTCTTGAAGGAAGCCTGGGAGGGAGAAAACAGAGAGCAGAAGCTGAACATCTTGTCTTACGTCCTGAAGATGAGAGAAAAGTTGAGTCAGCTGACAGAGATCGTCCATGCAAACATGGAAAAGGCTCAAGAACAACAAAAGTGCTGGTATGACAAAGCGGCAAGGAAAAGAGTGCTGGAACCAGGACAGAAAGTACTTATCCTGTTGCCTACCAGTGACACTGGACTTTTAGCCAAATGGCAGGGGCCATATGAAGTGCACAAACAGGTTGGAGAAACCACTTACGAACTGTACCTTCCTGAATAGAAAAAGAAGCTCCAGAGCTTCCACATAAACATGCTGAGGCCGTGGAATGAACCAGACACCACAAGCGCAGAACAGCTGTGGATAAGGGCTGTTGAGGAAGATGAGGAAGTGAAGGAGCAGTACTTTCCTCCAGGAGGGGGGAGGTGATGTTCTGCCTGTGGTGTCTCACCTGAGTGCACAACAGCAGAAGGAATTACTGCAGGTAATTCCAACAAAGCTCTTCTCAGAAGAACCAGGACGGACAGCAGTGACACAGCACAGCATCAGACTCACCAAGGACGAGCCAATCCGGCAGACCACCTGTAGAGTGCCAGCGCGACTCGTCCCAGAACTGAGGAAAGAGGTGAAGGAAATGCTGAAAATGGGCGTCGTTGAACCTTCAGACAGTGAATGGTGCAGTCCGGTCATCCTTGTTCCAAAAATGGACGGAGGCCTACGCTTCTGTGTTGACTCAAAGTTAAACGCCATGTCAGCCTTCGATCCTTACCCCATGTCACGGGCAGATGAACTCATAGAGAGGCTGGGAAACGCCAAGATGAACAGTTCGTCATGGGAGGAACATCTGAGGCATCGGAGCATCGTCCTGAAGATCACCAAAGCCGGCCTCACAGCAAACCCGAGCAAGTGTCATCTCGCTTGTAAGGAGGCCTCATACCTAGGCTACATCCTGGGTGGGGGACAAATACGACCTCAAGTGGACAAGGTTGAGGCCGTGAGAGCAACCCTCTACAAAGAGGAGGGTGCGCTCATTTTTGGATCTTGTGGGATGGTACCGCAGGTTCATCCCCAATTTTTCAACCAAGGCAGCAGCATTGACGGATTTAACAAAGAAGGACATGCCACAAAGGGTAAAGTGGACTGAGAAATGCGAAAATGCTTTTAATGAGCTCAGGAACGCACTGTGTGAGGAGCCAGTTTTAGCCAGCCCGGACTTTTCAAATCCTTTTATTGTTCAGATGGACGCGTCGGGTTTAAAGCTGGGTGCAGTCTTATTACAGGAGGAGGGGGAGGACCGAAAACCCATCCTGTACATAAGCAGGAAACTGTTCCCGAGAGAGGTGAAGTATTCCACCATTGGGAAAGAGGCTCTCGCCATTAAATGGGCTCTTGACTCATTAAAGTATTATTTGCTGGGAAATGACTTTGTTTTAGAGACTGATCACAGGGCTTTGCAATGGATTAGGAGGATGAAAGATTCCAACGCCAGGATCACACGCTGGTATCTGTCATTGCAGCCCTACCGTTTTGACATTCAATATAGAAAAGGCTCCCAGAATGTCACAGCCGACTTCCTTTCTCGCCACTGGGAAGGTGTCGAGCTTAAAGGGGGACTGTGATGATGTAAAGTACACTCTTACACATCACAATATAAAGACTGATTGTAAACACTTACCTGTACTTACCTGAGGACTGATTATCCTTGCTTTGAGGAGCAAAGAGAACTGAACGGGTTCACCAGTGCTTTACTTACCTGGGTGAGTCCATCCTGTAGAAGAGGAGGGAAGGACAAAACCTGCAAGAAGAGTAAAACTGATTAAGAAGTGTACACTCAGTTGTAAATGAATATTAATGACGTCATGAATGTAAATTTGATCAGTAAGGAAGAACATGAATTATTTACTGTTGCATGTAAATATATTTAAATATCTGAAGCACTTGTTTTTAACCCGGGCCAGTAATGGTATATCCTAGGGGAGGAGCACCCCAAATATAAGCAGCATTACTGGGGGGTACAAGGGAATCCCTTCTTTCAGCTTGGTGAAGACTGAAGGTGATGTGTGCAGACCTATATGACTTTGCTGTCATTGGTCAGTCTCATAGCCGTAGAGACCATTTTCATTTTGTCTTCGTTTTGTTTTCATTTGTTATGTGTGCACGTGTAAATATGTAAATAATCCTGAGCGTTGGTGTGTGAATAAAGGTGGCGGGGAGAAGAACTCTTAAGCTGTATTTATTCCAGTTACTTGGACCACTTGCCCGACGCTACCCATAAGGTGTGTCCCCTGCCACAGCATACTGCCGGGTCGAGGGACGCACTTTATCACAGGGACACAGTTTAGAGCTAGGCCATTGGGTGATGGTGAACAAACCTCAAAGATTACCTCTTGAAGCTAAATGGGAGGGCCCTTATCAAGTTTTGTTGGACACAAATTCAGCTGCAAAGCTTAACCCTTAAAACCCTAGAATTTTGGGGATCTTTTCACATGTGGCTCACAACATTCCATCTACTCAGGATGGGTGGTTTAATTGGTTGACTGAAAGCCTAGGGGACATGGGCAACTTAATAGTGGAATATCTTATGCTGAGTGTTTTGGGTCTCCTATTCCTGGTTCTGGTGATTGTAACAATGCAATACACTATCAAATGGCTTTTTGAGGCAATTACTATCTAAACACCTAACTGCTGTGACCACACCACCAGTCACTGTGTGGTACGTCAAACATTCATCTGACCAAATCTTGATCCTTATGACACTGGCCTCCATTTTGTGCTGATATATCATGTGTTATATTTACTTCATTAATCATATGCCTTTCATTTAATTCAAATTTCATTTCCAGTTTCCAATTTCTATTTTTCTTCCTCTGCTTGTAATCAATATATGACATTTTTAATCATTAATCACATTTCATCAATGTAGCTAGAATGTTAGCAAGGTAGTTCTGTTTAATAATCAGCATTTAATCAATATTGTATGCATTTTGATCATTTTCTTTCATACATGATCACAGGGGGGAATTGTTTGATTGTGGTTAATTGTATAACTCCTATATGCTTATTCTGTGTTATCAGAATAATCATTCTGTCTCTAATGATCCTTTCAGGTCATCTTAGAATGTTCTGTTCTTTTCTGTGCCTCTCTATCACAGGTACACAACACTGATACTTGAGGGGGGGCACGGGGGTGACTGATAGCTGTGAGTGAGCTGAGAGTGATAACAATCTGTGAGATCCGTGTTTGCTCCTGCTTTTCTGTGGGAGAAGAAACCAAACGGTGACCTGTGAACATCTCTAAATGAAGACATCTTGAAATAAACCTTCTCTAACCTTCTCCTCAAAAGTGCACGACTCTGTCTAGTTTATTCTCAATAACTTCTATAATGACTTCACAAGCCAAAAGTACCATGCCACTGACTTTATCTTTTTATTTTTGTGATGACCTGGATCCCCACATGGTAAATGTTTTCTTTTTCTCCAGCCTAGTGACAAGGTAGAGGTAGCAGAAACAGGGGCAGTGGAGCTATGAGTCTTTACCAGACATAACAAAAAATGCTAAGATGGCAAGATTCCTTTCCTGTGTGTGTGTGTGTGTGTGTGTGTGTGTTTTTTTTTCTTTTTTTTTCCCCCACAAAAGATATGGTTTATTTTGTAGCATTTGTTTATTTTATGGTCAGGAAGTAGTATTTAATAAGTGTTATCTACAAGTAATTTTGTTTGCATGTGCACAGCAATTTACATAAAAAAAGACCAGGTGTGTGCGGCTGCACTAACTCAGAATGTGGTAAATATGAGGTACTTTTCTGGTACATTGATTCACCGATTGTGTTTTTTTTTTTGACGCTAAAAGCTTCATTTTATATTATTAACGAAGCATAAGTTAAACCACACAAACCATGACATTTCTTCTATTTCGAAGTCCCCACAGACTTCTACGTTAAAGTTAACCTTGCATTCTCTAAAAAGTAGCAGGTGGTGGTCGCAAAGATGACTCGTAAGGTTTTATGTGTTGCCCCCTTTCGCCGCTATTTTCTTTCGGCATGTTCTGCAGACAGGTTGGTCATCTTCAATTAGCTTTCCTTCTGCATTCTTATAAAACCCAAAATATGACAAAACGTCAGAGTTGGTCTTCTTAGAAGGCTGAAATATCTCCGAATCTCCGAGTTTTTTACACCGCGGTAATCGACCGCGGTTTTAACGATACTTTAAAGTTCAAACGGTACTACTAACCGTCATTAATTTTTACCGCGGTTTACCATGAAACCAGTAACCGTTTCATCTCTAGTATCAAGTATGTACAACAGTACTTACTCAGAATGTAATAAGCAATATGTAGTTCTTACAACAATTTGAAAGCTCTGCATGTAATTAAAGGGTAACTAATGTAATAGCAATAACATGTATATTTCAGATTTTAATGATTCAGCATTTCAGGACCTACACGTATATGTAAGAGAACAGTACGAATGTACAAAAGTAAAATAAGTACCTTTATTCATGTACAGTAATTTATTCTATATTAATTAGTAATTAATTAATTACTTATTGTTAAGTTCTCTGTAATACTGTGGTAATAAGACTGTAAAATAAAGTGTAACTTTGCCCATAGTAATTACACAGTAACTACCTGTTCTCTTACCAGACATACTACCAGGTACATAGTGGTAAGTTCTCTGAAAAATGATAGAAACAGGACTGTAAAATAAAGTGTAACTCTGTACATAGTAATTACACAACAACTATTTGTTTTCTTGTCTTTGAGGTATGCTGAGTATAACCATACATAGAGTTCATAACCATACATAATGTTATGGATCTGATCTAGGTTAAAGCACTCTATGTTGCAGCATGAAATATGGATGTATTAAGCAAAAACACCACATAGTATTGTACTAAACCAGTGAACTACAATACACAACTAAATGAATTTCAGAATTCAGGTTTGACCCACAGACAAAGTAAACATTCCAAACTACCTGGAAGATAACAGTGGGTAACAAACAAAGAAAACAACAAAAGATATAGAAACTTCCTTCTGTCCCTGATACTAAACATACACACAAGCGCATGTTTACACCTACAGCCTTTCACACACCCAGAGAGACAAACTTGCTATATACAGAATATCTATGAAACACTGAAGAATCCAAAAGGGCAGAGCAAGTAGCACAACAGGAAAACACATGAAGAGTAACAAGTCTCAAACAGTCCTGTGCAGCAATGAAACATGAGAACACCCAGAAGTGGAGGACCGGACTGCACTGGATTGGCATTACTGAGTGCAGTCCGATAGAGTTCAATCCAGTACTCCACTACAAATCTTCTGGGTTTTCGCAGTCCATCGCTGCATTTGACTTCATCGCTGCGAGAGAGATGACAGGTGTAGTGTGTGCATGCTTGTTCGTTAGATTCTGCACCTGTGTTTGAATTGTTACTTAACTCTGTTGTCTGTCTTTATGATTTAGTAGCTTAGTCTTTTGTTTTATTCATTTATATTGTAAAAATATTCTCTGTATTTAAAGTCTTGTTTCACCGGTTAGCTTGTGTTAGTACAACACATTTCCATTTCTGCCTTAATCCTGTATGTTGTTTTGGCCTTACTAAATTGCAGAGTAATATTTTACCATACAATAAACATACCACTTTTTGCCATTGGTTTTTAACCTAGATTCGATAACATTATGTACAGTTATGAACACTGTGTGTGATTATGCTCTGCATACCACAAATTTTAGAAAACAGGTAGTTACTGTATAATTACTATACACAAAATTACATTTTACTGCCCAGTTTCCATCATGTTACAGAGAACTTACCAGTAAATGTACCAAATATTAAGGAATGAATTGCTATACTGGAAAAAAGGTACTTACTGAGTACTCCTTGGTAGGTACCCTGCAATTTTACACCTTTGTTACTTATACTTGTACTTCACTTGTACCTTCACTTGTACCTTACTCTTCTCTGTTACATAGGTATGTATTTCCTAAAGCAGTTTGGTAGTACTTGCCATTACAATGCAACTTCTTAGAAGTAAAAGCTGAAATATGCCTCATATTTCTCACCTTAGTTACTGTGTACTTTGTACTTGCAACATATGCACCAAGTACTTATGACTTGTAAACACTCAATATTACCAAAAAAACTCTATAACTATTGCAAATACTGCTGTACATACCTAGCATATGTACCAGAAAATTACTTGTGAGTACTATATTTCTACCTTTTAAATACTAGTTTCTTAACATACCATAAAATAAAGTGCTACCAAAATTCACTAGTTTTTAATTCGATTCAAAAAGGATTTCTGTGAATTAAGAACTTTTTAAATTATTATTATGAAGTAAAAGTAGTGATATAATAAACTAAAATGGATCCACTCATATTCAGTTAGGTAAGAACTGAATAAGTTTAATTACTTGTGTAATGTTTATTATAACAGGTGATTCCAAAGGAGCATGCTAAAAATAGGATTAACTACCTGAAGAAAGAATTGACTTACAATATAAACAAGATGAATACAGTGATACACTAAACAATGATAAATTTCAGAAAATGGCATTTTAAAAAAAGGAAAATCTATCTTTTTTTTTTTTTTTACAGTAAACAGAAACCTGCACAAAAGCATCTAACATTAGGTGTAATAGCAAATCTATCACTATTTAATTTGGCCACTATTTACTTTTGTGCACTCTACTGCCACTTTAATTTTCCTATCTTTTCAATGTTAAAAACAGGGTTACAACTGTATCTTCCCAACAACATGTGTGTCCAAAATGGCTATTATATATCTCAAAAAAGTTGGGACAGGGGCAACAAAAGGCTGGAAAAGTGGTACCAATAAAAAAACAGCTGGAGGAGCAACTAACTCACATGACTGGGTATAAAAAGAGCATTTTAGAGAGGCAGTGTCTCTCAGAAGCAAAGATGGGCAGAGGTTCACCAGTCTGCAAAAAACTGCATCTAAAAACAGTGAAACAATTTCAGAAAAAAAGTTACTCAACATAAAATTGCAAAGACTTAGGATATCACACCATCTACAGTACATAATATAATCAAAAGATTCAGAGAATCTGGAGAAATCCCTGTACACAAAGGACAAAGCCAGTGGTCAATATTGGATGCTCATGAACTTCAGGCCCTCAGGCGGCACTGCATTGAAAACTTGCATGATTCTGTACTGGAAATCACTACATGGGTTCAGGAACAATTCCAGAAA